AAATCGTTAATCTCCAAAGGGGTTTCGTTATATTTGCAGTTGTAGGAACTATCTTAAATTGTAAACAAAGTTCATGTAAGTAGGTCACAGGTAGAATCAGCTGTTTGGTAGAATTGAAGTAGAATTTTTTCCAGCCGGTAATGTAGAAAATCCATCAATCGCATGACGCCCCAAAACCAATCCTCGATAAGATGGCGAGTTCAAATAAAAATGCAATATCATCCACGTACTGTAGTAGGTCATATTGCGATGGTTCGGAATCTACAGCTTACCTCCACGTTTGTACGTCGCTGGTTTTGGTATTTTCACGATGTATAGAATGTCAATGTGACCTCCACGTTGGTTACGCCATTGGTTTCGATTGTTTTTATTTCCGACTCGTTGTATCGTAGTTGCTTCTTCGCTTATTGACTCGGCGTATGAAACTTACCTTTTTTTATTTCGCCTATATAAATATCTGTTATATGTTAAATAAATAATGTATTGTTTATACATCCAAAACTTCATTTGAGTAGGTTTATGACAAGAAAATTTGGGAACGTTGTGCTCGAATAAAGCGCCAAATTTAAATATCCCCTCAAGCTCAAAATTGGTACGTCACCTGGTATATCTTTAAATTAATAAATACTGTTAAATGCAGGTAATATTCATCGTCTGTACGTTATAGATTACACATAAAATACAATAAATGTAAGTTTCGTATAATAACGGAAAAACTCCAAAATGTTATAAACAATTTGAATGGATACCCTAATGCAAAATTTGAACTATAAATAATCAACCCCCAAAGTCCTAACGCGCAACGATATAAACGATTGTTCAAACAAACGTACGCAATGCAGTTTACATACACATAAAAGGAAAATGAACTAACCTTTTATCTTGAATAGCTGGTGATCGTGACGTCACAATGAATATTCAAGAAAGATAGCTTCAGCTACCAATGAATCACGAAAAAATATAACAACGAAAGTCGGAATTACAACGAATGCATCCTTTTTACAGCAGTCTCCGATGACGATAACTAAAATTGTTGAGAATTTGAAGCGATTTTATGGAAAAAGTCTGTAAAGTTTGAAAAAGCATGCACCTTCTGCCAAGGTTCTCTTTTTATTAAAAGTTAAAAGTTTGTACCGTCTGAACAGCCACCGGCCACTCGTCATTTTATTCATCAAATGAATGTTGATTACTCATCAAGATTTGTGTGTTAAAGAAAAGTTGTTGCTGTGGTATTGGGTCCCCAAAGTAAAATCCGTTCCTTTAGTTATGCTTTTGAAATTCCTTCAAAGAAATTATCCTTTGCACGCCTCTGTATATAATTATTTCGTCTTGTTATGTGCGGCGCATGAGCCGTCGAAAGGCCGATTCGTATTATGGGTAACATCACGGTCTGCTCACGATGCAGTCAATTATTGTCGCGTGCATTTCTTTTGAACATGTTCTTACCGTAACTTGACCGATAATGTGAATCGGCCTTCAGGAATACACGCTATAATAATTGACCGCATTGTGAGCGGATCGTGATTTGGCCGATGCCGATGATGGGAATCGCCCTATACACGCTACAATAATGGACCGCACCGTGAGCGGACACGGCGTCATCTGACCGTGTTGCTATCGATAATGTAAATCAGTCTGCATTTGCTCACTTGTCGAACAACAATCGAATCGAATACAATATGTCAACTCGTCATTCGGCCATCATTAATGAGCATGTGTGTTAAAAAGCACCATGCCATTGTCGCCGAACTTGTTTGCACAACGCTGTGAAAAGAAATTGCTATCGAAAAAGGAAACAATCGCTTATCGCCTTTGTTTATTGAACCTACTTCGAAACAACAAGTAAGTCCAGTTTCTAGTACATTTGCCGTATCGATTCACCAAATCAAGATTAGAATCAATTTATTTGATTTGTATTTTTAATCAATCATTAGTGTCGATATTCTTTCAACATCCCTCTTATACGAAAGCATAGCAAGCAATTACATTCATACAGTCCACGCACAAAACTATCGAAGCTTCATTTGTAAACGCAACATAAGCTGTCACCGTTTGTGTGTGCCTTGTTTATCGCTATCCTTTGAACGACTAGATTATTAGAATTATTAAAAGAGAAGTAATTTTAGAAGTTTCTTATTTTATTTGTCGAACAGCTGCGTGCGGAGTAATTTATGCAAACAAGCTTTGTAAGCTGTTCTTTCTTTCTTTTAGGAATGTTGTTTTTAATTTTTCATTTCATGTTTCTGAATAAAATTTTGCCATTGTCAATCAATTAATTGTGTTTATTCCAATCCCTTGTGCGACCCGGGCAAAGTTTTCATGTCAGATGTTTCTTCTCGTGTCCAAGAATTGTGTCCGTTGTTAACCAAAATTTGTCTATTTAATTCTTTGGAATTTTTGGAAGTTGATCGAAGCTGCCGAGTTTTGGTTTTTTTTGCACCAGATACTGGAAGTGTACGAGGAGAGATTATAGAATTGTAAGTTTCAATTTTGATTTGTTTGAGATAGTTGGACATGTGCTTTGTAAGTGGTATAGTTGACGACATGCAATTATTGTACACAGCATTGGTTAGTTATTTTTCTAATATCATGAAGGGGTACTGTAACGGAACTTTCCGGTGGAATTCTTAAATTTTTTAGTTGTGTTGTATGGACGAGTGGTCCTGAATTTGTAAATGCGTTTGAAAACTGAAGGCGCCGGTGAGTCACGGAATGGTGCGCGATTCAGGTTGCAGGAAAGATTTTGTTTATTTTGCAGTCGTCGTTACCTAAATCTGAGTCATCTACGCTGTATGTGAATTGCATCAGCATGACATTAGTCACCGTTGAATTGATTTATGGCTGCCAAGCACTCTGATTGGTTGCGTCAATTTAGTTTATTGGCGGAAACGCTTTGCGCCCCTAATGTGTGTCACACAAAAAAGAAAAGTCGTGGGGAATTGGCTGTTCTGAGAGAACCGAAGAATGCGAGTTAAACCGCAAGCGAAGTCACCCAACTGTAAATTACCATAAAGTGTGTATTTTGAGTTAAAATTCGCGTTGTCACGAGTGCAGTCAAGTCAACCACCTGTATATTACCGTGGGGTGTGTTTTAATTCGGGCTTAGAAGGGTGGTTTTATATTTCAAAACATGTATACAGCACGTTAGAGATAAGAGCTCACCTCAATGTCTCTTTTATTTGGCGAGATACGAAACTTTTGATTTTCAAATGCAATGCCTATGTTCTTTAAGATATTTGAAAAGAGCAATCAATTTACTATACGAGAATATAAAATATGCATATAGCTGATATACAAAAAATGGATAAATTCGTGGTTCAATATTTAGAAAACTTATGAAAAACAAAAGTTGCACTGATTTCCGGCCAAAATGGAAGTGACACCGAAAGTTTCAATATGCGATCGGATAGATCGTAATGTCACATACAATAGTATATTAAGTATGGAGAACGGTAAGGGATTTTTACCGTTCGAAGACAATTGTTTGGAGGAGGAGCGAAGCGACGACTCCAATTTATTATTGTCTGAGAACGGTAACCCTTAACGTTCGACGTGCTTATAACATTTTTTGCGCGATCGAAATTAAAATTATCCAACCAATATAAATATGCACTAATAAATTAACGAGCAGAATAAATCGAAATAATCGAAGTGGTTTGGTGTACATCACTAGGTAACCAGTTGAAATGTCAAAATTGAAAGTAATAATTTCATAAAAATGTGCATGTGTCTGATGTAGTTTACTAGCTTTGCACTTCCTTTATGACTTTATGAGCGTCTTGCTATAGGAAACAACAGCACAAATTGTACGTCAATAATTAAAGATTAAATGTAATATAAGACTGTTGATTTTTAAAAAGGCGTCGGTAAGTATTTTTGCTGTTCTGTTTTTAGATCGGTAAGTAATTTTGGCGTCGTCGTAATCATAGCAACTGGTAAATTCTACGTACTGTCATAGAAACATCCATGGTAAATAGTCAGAAATGACCGATCGCGCAAAAAATTATATTTCACAACTTTTTCGTGTCTCGCCAAATAAAAGAGATATTGAGGTAACCCTCTTATCTAGAATGCACTGTGTATATCGTCGTGACACCCTAATAATCGAGACGTTGGTTTATTTCGGAGAGGTTTCAATGGTGGACGTTTTAAACGCGCGAATTAAAGTTTGGCGGCCCTTAAATTCAAGGGATAACTCGCGAATTAGAAACTATTACGGTAAATACGAACAATAGCGAAAATTTTAAACGCTCTAAAGTTCAGTGACTCTAAAAGAATGGACTTAACATTTCATTCTTAGCACGTTTGAAGCGGTTGGTTGTGGCCACTTTAATCACTTCCTACAATCTCAGTACTTAAATTTGAATACTATTAACGAAATACCAAAAATTAATATTGTACTGATTACGAATCCTTACTCATCCTATCGTGTAATTAATCAAAATTAATACAATATTTAACGCTTAATGCATTTGAGTTATTCTGATGGTTCTGCCACACGAGCCGGCCCTGCTTAACAAATAATTAGGTTACAGATAACTACATCAAACAGCACAACAGTAGGTCAATATTGTTGAGTATCGCGCTTCAAAGGCGGCAGCGGCGATGCGTTAATCTCAATTTGCATTTTGAGATCAGCCTAATTGTTTTGTTGAGATTAAAACGTTCGCTTGTTTGTAAGGCGACATTCGATCTAATATAATAAATTACGTAAACTTTCCCAATTTAGAAAGTTGCGAGGGTAGTAGAATCTTACCTTTGAAACCTATACCACCTGATTGAACAAATCCTTTAGGCAAAATTGAAAATAAAGTAATTAAAGTTGCATTAGGCGAGTGTCCTTTAATAAAGCGTGTCACAAAAGGAAATTGTACAATCTTGAACCCGAAGAGCTCTCGAAAAGTTCGCGAAGTGTGTGTTTCAATCGCTCCTTTGGGAATATAATTTCAAACGGGAAGTTGTCCGAAATTTCCAAATTAACGGATTTTTATTGCTTTCAGTGTGGACCGTCAGCAACCGTTCACGTTCCAGCTCGGCGTAGGACAGGTAATTAAGGGATGGGATCAGGGACTTGTCGACATGTGTATCGGCGAGAAGCGTAAACTGGTCATTCCCCCGACTCTCGGTTACGGAGACAACGGTGCCGGAAACGTCATCCCCGGAAAGGCCACACTTTTATTCGACGTCGAACTGATGAGCATCGCTGATTCCCCACCAACGACGAATGTGTTCAAGGAGATCGATTCTAACAAAGACAAAATGTTGAGCAGGGAGGAAGTAAGTTTGTTACGCACTCCGTGGGTTTTCACCTGCATGTTTCATGACACGAGTACGCTTTTGCTTTCGTTCTTGCACAAAAACTAGTACACATGGTGAAATGTGGGAGGGCTAAGCTTTTCACCACTTACCTACTTTCCCACTCAGTAAATTTAGTTCTCTGCTGCAGCCAGCAGGCGGTTATTATTAAAATCCGTACAAAATGACATTCTATTTGTTGGGTTTTTCCAAAAATGTAAAAGCTGAATATTGTGGATCATCGCTCAGCCTTGAGTAACATAGACGTCACGACTCATGTGTTCTTTTTTTATTCGCTCGGCGAAAAATGTAAATCTCTATATGGCCCTATGACATGAAAAAAAGTTGGACTTTGGACAAAGCATTGTCATGTTGCCTATCCATATAGGGGTAGATCGCCACAAGGGGTATATTGTTAGAATCGCACATTTTTATGAAGTTGACAGTTCGCGACGCTACTGATGTACTTCATTTATGTACGCCCTGTATAATAAGGAGAATTTCCAACTATTGTATCCAAGTGATTTTCCTCAACTTCTTCAGAGTTTCCAAAAAAATGATTATATCGTGCGCGAGTGAGGGAAATCTAATTGGCCTTTCTATCCGACGGAAGTCGTAGACATGTTTAATAGATACAAAATCCGTTCGCGTCGCATTTAAAACACAATTATGAGGTTATAAAACCGCCTCAGATAACCCGCAATTCAATTAATGGATTTTTATCATGCCACCAAAACTGAACGAGTTTTTAATCTAATCTAATCGTAAGTTTGGTCACACGGATGGTTATCTAAAATAGCGGTTACATAAGGCAATGGGTAGGCAGCTGCTTCGGAGAAAAAAGGTATACTTCAAACATTGCATTTTGCTAAACCCCGCAGTTTTATTTGTTCCACAAGGCTTTGCAGAAACTTTTTATTTTGTAATGCGTAGTTTTAATTTAGATATGTAGGTTTATATTGTTTAAGCCTGTCTGCATGAAGCAAAATCCAGAAATTTAATCTTGCCCATTTATTCGCAGGTAAGTGAGTATCTGAAAAAGCAAATGCTCGCCGCTGAAGGTGAGAACGAAGAAATACGAAATATGATAGGAGAGCAGGATAAGTTAGTTGAGGAGATCTTCCAGCACGAAGACGCCGATAAAAATGGCTTCATTTCGCATACCGAATTTTCCGGTCCGAAACACGACGAACTTTAACGTTTACCTAACTTTTAATGTTGTAACGGTCGGGACTGATTTGTTTAAAATGCGAACTGTGCCGTATTTTGAACATTTCCTAAAGTTAGTGCGATTTTTTAAATTTTTATATTGCGAATACGTTTATTAGATGTCTAAGATAGTACTTAATTGGATTCATCGACCTCATTGTTTCCTTTCTGGTTGTGCATCGGTTTTAGGGTCATTTTTTGTTGTCATTAAGGTACATAGGTTTTTTACCAGGCGCTCGATTAATTATTTATTATATTTTGTATTTAATTAACTACTTAATTTTCAACGACATGTACCTATACTTCATTGTCGGCGATGTAATGGAGATTGTTTTATGCTATGTTATTGGTTAAATGTACTATAAATTATTGTTGATAATAAATTATTTTAATCTATTGTCGAGCTCTTGGTTCATGAACTTACAGGCTAATGCTTTAAAAAGCTTACATTTCAATCACACCGCTTATTAACGCCAGTGATGCTTACACAAAACATTTGCTAAGAATACCTTTTTAGTAAAGCTTTCAAATGGTCATACATTCGACGCCCGCCATTGAGTACACGCAAGCGCACAGCACAATATTTACATATTGAAAACAAACTGAAATAAAACTAATGAGCAGCTTGAGGCACCAATGACCAGTCTGCAATACCATTCCGCATTAGGTTGCGGGAAGAAAAGTATTCTTAGCACTCATTGTATAGTTAGCCATTCTTTTCTAATTCCTATTTTCTCTTAGCTAAGCAATTTCCTAAAACAACAGTTACAAACGAGCGAAGGAGAACGAAACGAGGACGAATTAAAGAGCATGATGGCTGACAGTGATCGAATGGTAGAAGAAATTTTTGTACACGAAGACAAAGATAAAAATGGATTTATTTCGTACGAGGAATTTTCAGGACCCAAACATGATGAGTTGTAATAATTGTCATCCACTCAAGTAATTTAATTCATTCACAACTTCCAAACAACGCAAATTGTATAAATATTAGAATGTTGTAGTAAATTAAATGTTAACTTTTGTATAAGTTTTAGTAAATTGTTTTTTTAAAAAGTTGATCTTTATTCGTTTTACAATTTTTTTACGTTAGTAGGCCTATTGAAATATGAGCAGAGGGCAAGTGCAAATTTGGGACGTTGATCTGCTGTCAGCTGTTACGGATCCGATAGTCTTGATGCGTTAGATCATCGATATTTAAAAGGTAGTGAAAGAAAATCTCACTTTATCACGTTATTTCTAAAGAGCCACCAATAAAGAGTGTTCTTTTCAATACATTTTATGTAAACAATCCCACTCCGCATACAACTACGCCAGGTCCTAGGTACGAACTACAGACATTTCGCCCCGACAGCAGCCCAACCACATAACAAGCCCTAGTACTGAAAAGTAAACCGATGTTGCAAACAACAGCTGCTTAATGCGACGCAACTCAGAATGAGAAGTCCCACTCGCAGTTACCATCAACGCCTCCAATCACGCAATAGGCAGCGTAATCCCGCAGCGGCAAAACTCAATCGACATACGGCACCTAAAAAAACCGACTTTGTGTTTCAATGGTAGAGCGTTGCGCTATAAATCCGGAGGTCGGGTGTTCGAACCTGGGTTGAGGTGAACAGGCATCCTACCAGGGACTGTGATACTTTCTACAAGGGGACAACACCTAAAAAATAGACACGCCCATGAATCCGGCTGGTAAACGTTTAACACAAATGCTCCTTCCAGATGTTCGAATGTATCAGAATGTTGTTCAGGTTATACTAGGGCGCATCTTAATAGTCAGCGGGCAGCCCCTCCTTCATTTTAGCTTTTGGAAGGTAGCTGGAGCGTTCTTTAATCCAAACGGCATTACTCGAAATAAGTAGTTATGACTCTATTTATGGTAGAGAAAACTGCAGGTAAGCGGTCTTGACTAGGCATGGGAATTTTTTTTGATATATCGATAGTTATCGATATATCGAATAACAATAGGCAGAACTGAAAAAATCGATAACTATCGATACTAATCGATAAATCGATACCTATCGATATGTCGATAACTATTGGTACGATAAGATTATGTTATTGTTGAGATTTCAACGAGCGCTACTATTTTTCTTAATAAAATCTATTTTCGGGTTTTACTCCCGTGTAAAGTTACTACTTTTAGTTCCTCGACGTTTCGGAAACTTAACTTTGCTCCCTTTCTCAAGAGAAGCGCTACGTCACATCATCATTCATCATCCATGCCAAATCCACGCAATAATAACATCTTTAGAAATTAGATGATTCGTCTGACTGACAATTGCTCAAGAAAAGAAGAACTTCAAAAACTTGAACAAAATGTTGCATCAAAATGGCTACTCTTTAGATAAAATAAAGAAGACAATCAAAGGGTGTAATAATCTTTCAATAAAACCCACCACACCCAACTAATAACCCAAAAAATCGGTTGTCCTACCTTACATAAAAGGCATCATAGATAAAATTGCACACATTTCCTAAAGATAAATTTAGCGTTTTAAACCTCACCGCTCTCTACAGCAGCTCCGTAGAAATCCAAAGACAATATCCCAGGTAAAAACAAGGAGTTTACGAAATTCGTTGTACTAATTGTATGAGATCATACACAGGTCAGACTAATAGGAGACTAAATGTCGAGTACAAGAGCAGTTGTTGGCAATTAAACATCATACTACATCTTCTTCAGCAACACACCATCTGGAGTCTGGACACTGGTCATTATACTGAACCAAACACTATAAAAGAAACGATAATTTCCGAATTTCGCAAATATGAAATAAAATACTTATCGATAAGTAAAATATATCGATAGGTAAGTACCCGATACTTATCGATAGGTGAAAACAGTTATCGCCCATCCCTAGTCTTGACGGCGGTACCTGAAATTCGTTCAAGAGAACAACAACCAGGCATCACATCTTGCATTCATCTGGGTGTGACTTACTCTCTTTATAGATCCTTCCTTTGGTTCTCACTTTTTCGATAAAATTTTGAATAGCCTTCCATTTGTAGCCAATGGAACCATGCTCGTTCATCCGCCCCATTTATCGTGGTCTCGTTTGCTAATCCTGTACGAATAGGTCCCGACTTCTCCGTTGCCTGCGAGGTATTGAGTGAGTTCATATAATAGCTCTCTCTGTGTCTACGCATTGTCCACATCTTCACAGCTTGAATGAGCTTCTTGATCTTGTTTCTTGCCATTCTTCTAATGTTTCTCGCCTCGTTCTGGCTGTGCTCTCCTCGACCGACAGTCAAAGGGCGGTGCCTACCGGTACCCGAACCTCAAATCAAGGATTGAAGCCATTTTCGCCGTCCTTACCTCACGAAGGATTGACAAGTCGTGAAGGTCCCGGAAAGCGTGTGTAGCAGACTTTGTAGTCGGGGCCAGAGGGCTGTTGGTAACTATTGGTAGACGCATTGCAGACAGAGGGTTCTGATATCCAGGCGCCTCGATATGCGTAACCCATGTGCCGGCTGGCGTTGTTTTCTTGCTCCAATGTCGCTTGTGGTCCATTACGGTCCGATTGTCAGTGAGTTTCGTTTCGCCAAGAATGCCACGAATGGCTAGATAATCGACCACCACAAAGGTCTGATTCTAAAATCAACCGTTACAAATCCGACGATTTGTACATCGTGTCTGATGGGAAGCCTGAGCAGCCCGCTTGAGGATGTGTGGTAGTTTAATCCCGAGCGGTCGAGGCACTTAGGCGTTTCCCAAGGATCTTGATTTAGCGGGGCTCCCCGCGGAAGTGTCGTTTGGGTCTCTGTTCGGTTAGGCTATAGTTTGGCCTCCTTCGACCTTCTCAACAGTCTCAGCGAACCCATCAACGATACCGGGAGTGCATCCAGAGCTGAATGCGGAGACGAGCTTTTGATGTAAGTTGCGTTCAGCGAGCTGCAGCTTTCGTACGTTGCACAACTTGCGGAACGGAACAGCCATGACAGAACCTGCAGGTCGTCGTACTCGTCCATGAACCACTGTCTCATATCCAGACGGACAGTCGAAACAATACGGTTGGTTTCCACTATAGTCCAGGCCCCAGAGGGTTTGACCTTGGAAATTTCTGAGACAAAGAACCATGATGCAAGGATTATGTTTTTTGGGTCGCTGAATCCGAATTTGACATTTGCACAAAAATCCAGATGATGCGGGAGCGGAAAATCGGCGGTTTTTCCACAAAACGCGAAATAACTCATTTGGTACCGTTTTTTTGCGAAGAAACATCAATAATAAATTAAAGTACATAAAAATTTACTTTGAGATGAGCCCTTGTTGATGAAAATCAGATAAAAACTAACGCCACTACAGTGCGACGAAATTCGGCAAAAAACGGAACTGACGTCATTCACGAGCAGTAAGCTCTCCGAATATGAGGAGCTTTTGAAGAACATCCAATTGAATCCCTAATTTTGGCAATCATCGACGTAAGATTGCTTCTTTTAGCTTGGTTTTTTGATTTTTTATATCCTTATATTGGCTGTTTCGTCAAAAATCCGGCATTCGTTCTTCAAATGCATAATTGGGCAGCATTTAACGAAAGGGAACCAACTTTTTTGCTACATTTCAAAACCATGTATCTCCATCGAACAGTTCAACCAGGATACGTGGTTTTGGAATGTAACCAAAAAATGGTTTGTTTTTCGCGTATTGCCGTCAAATTTTGCTGTCGGATTTTCCTGTTGATAGAACATAACGCCCTGCTGCCCAATCAAAAAATCTAAGCAACATCTTTTTCTTAAAACCGGTTAAAAGGGAAAATTCCGCAGAAGATACAACCGGGAGTCCCTTCAAAATGAAGTCGCAGCAGACCATTTACTCTTCATTCATGCATTCAGTGGCTGCGACACAACCTCGGCAATTTACATGCAAGGGAAAGTAAAGTTTTTAGCAACCCTAAGAAAACACCCGGATTTAATCAAAGTAGCAGAGACTTTTGAAAAGCCAGACGCAACACCTGACGAGATTTCCAAAGCAGAACATACATTTCTACTACGTTTGTATGGCTGTAAAGGTGATTCAGAGAACTTTAAATAAATTGCGGTATGAAAGTTATGTTCGCACCTCTTTTTGCAATGTTCAAAATCTTGCAACCTTGCCACCTACAGAAGATGCTGCTGCGCTTCATTCATTTCGGGCCTATCATCAGATCCCGCAGTGGCGTGGAATAAAGAAAAACGCTCTTAATTGGGGTTGGAAACAGAGCAAAAATGGCCTCATACCAATTACCACCTTGCAAAACTCTGCCCCGGAAAAGATCTTAAACAGGACTGCATTGCTCTCTTGTTTGCGCCAACTGTCATGGCTCCTGCGAAAATATGCCAGATGACACGCTGGCCTTAATGGAGGAGGAGGAGGAGTTGACGACGATGATGGTGAACTGACTAGTTTTATAGAAGACGACGAGGCGTCTAGCGATGAAGATGATACATCAAGTACCTCAACAGACAGCACTTTTAAAAATGAATCAGAATCAGAACCCAGTGAATCTGAATCATCAAGTTCAGAAGCCGCAGCGTCTCCAAAACGCTCAAAGAGGATCATGCAGCTGTTCAAACAAGGCCCAGAAATTTCATCTGATGCGACAAAACCTGAGGAGTTTGATCAACCCGGTCCATCAAGTCGGAAGAGATAAAGGAGCAGCCATCTAGATGTCAACACACCAACGTCGTGGATGGATTCGGCTTAGGTTGCGTCAATTCAGTCACTCTAAAATCATCATTTTGCTACAAAAAAAAATGGCTAAGAGACTGTTGGCATAACCTGAGCGGCGGGGGTTTTAGTGAGCTAGGCCTTTTGAATCATTCAATGCAGAAATCATGTTGTAAATTGTGATTAAAAATTTTAAAACTTAGGTATGATCTTGATACTCATTTCACCGTGAATGCGCTAATTTCGGCGAAAGAAGTAAGTTCGGGTGATTAAAGTGGAGGACTGCAAAATTCAGCAAATTTTCGATTTTATCGAAAAAACTTTGAGACGGTGTTGTGATGTCATTTTCGTCCGATTTAAACAAACTTGGGCTCATTTTAAAGGTAGGTACCTAATTGGATGTTCTTCAAAAGCTCCTCACGTTCGGAGAGCTTAGTGCTTGTGAATGACGTCAATTCCGTTTTTTTGCGCGCGAAATATTGAAGATTGCGAAAACTCCATTTTTGGGCCGAATTTAACGCACTGTCGTGGCGTTAGTTTTTATCCGATTTTCATCAACAAGGGCTCATCTCAAAGCAAATTTTATGTACTTTAATTTATTGCTGAAGTTTTTTCGCCAAAAAACTGATACCAAATGAGTTATTTCGAGTTTTGTGGAAAAACTGCCGATTTTCCGCCATTTTTCCAAGATGGCGGCTCCCTAGTCATGCGGATTTTTGTGCAAATGTCAAATTCGGATTCAGCGACCCAAAAAAATAAACCCTGCATCTTGGTTCTTTGTCTCAAAAATTTGCAAGGAGGACCCGTTTTGAGCTCTAGGGCCTGGACTACTAGGAGGCAGCGGATTTTGAAAGCTGTCGCCGTATGATAATCTGCAGGTCTGCCATAGGTGTGCCCTCCTCAGTAAAATGCTGCCGAAAAGCGGCAGGCCGTGTCTTCTATAGCGTCCCCCGTGAAGTGAGTAAGTATAGGTCGTTCGTGGCGTGCTTTCAAACATATTTCCATGGCATTCTTACACCTTTAAAATATTCCCTAGACCAATTCCAAAGCTTTGTAGGCATTTTATAGAACCTTTTTAGGTATCTAAAAAGTTCTGGAACGGGTTCCTAGAAAGTTCTGAATAAATTTTAGGAGAGCCTTACTTGCTCCTTCGCCTAAGAGGTGTTCAAAAAGGCGTTTGATTGATCTTGAAAAAGTACGCAAGAGTATGTGAAAGCACAGACCTTTAAAGTCCTTTCAGCGCTATATGTGACAATCTGGAAAAGCTCTAGACCTCTAAAAGGATTTAGAAATCATTGAGAAGAGCCTATGATAGGTCTAAGAGTGTGACCTAAAATGCGCTTTAACTTCTCCGTATGCGTTGGTACACACTTAAGAGACTCTGGAAAACACTTTAGAAAGCCCCTAAGTACTTACAAGTGTTGTTAGTATTCCAAACTCTTTAAACATCTGTCCAATGCATTTTTGTGTCTTTCTGGGTCTACTTAGGGTTGTTTTCGTAGCTTTCCGAGTATTTTACACCACAAAGACGTCTTTTCAAGCGAAAAGGGACATCTAAACACCTCCGGGGGAGGGGCTAAATAAAGTTCCAAGATGGTATAGAACGCAAAGGTCATAAAAAACCAAGGAAATGAACCAGAGTCTTTTACATTATTCGATATGTGCTTTCCTAAGTGATCGATGTCTTTCTAAAGCTTTCTATACCTTTTCCAGGGATATTTGAGCCTAAACAAATCTGGCTGGCTATGGCCGTTAAGCTCTTGAGAGTTGAGAGTGTCCAGGAGGATCTGAAAACACAGTGTATCCCTTAAGGACTTGTTATTTTGGTGAAGAGTAATAGTTCACCATTTTCCTTAAATGATTTTTTTCCAGTAAAATGGAACACTGAAACAAATCAGTTGAAGGAAAGAAGTAAGGGGCAAACAGTGCTGGCTCATAAATAAATAAATAAATTATCGCCTTTTAACAAATAAATTTATAAAATTTATTTCATACAATTTACAAGTTTCTCAGGTCGTATTGCAATACACATAGGCATCTTATCTACAATAATTTATTACAAGTAATGTACTCGGTACATCGTTTATATTTATTATTGCTTATATTTGAACTGCAACTAAGGCACATACTCTAAAAATACAAAATCAAAAATAATTTCAAAAAAAGGACGCAAAAATTTATGACCTTTTGCAACAGTTTTTGGGACTAGCGAGATTTATCAATACTGAAATAAATTATTTCCTCAAATATTTATATCACTATTACTAGTAGTTTTCGCAAAGTCAAACTTAATGTAGGTATAAAACGTTTTTTATAAGCTACAAAAAAAAAGAATTTAACAGAATGTTACAATAGTTATTTATCACATAATAAAATCAGTATGAATGTACATCTTATAAAAGATGCAGAATAGTAAGAAATAACAAGGAAAAATCAAAGTTAAAAACACATTAGTAACTTTTAATACATGCCGATAAATACTTCTTTTCTTCCTCCGACAATCCGTTTTTTAGTGTTCTTCTTACTAAAAAGAAAGAGGGAAAATCACTACGTGCGTAAGAGTGCGTGAGACTACAATTACACAAAATGCAAATCATGCAAAAAAAAAACAAGAGCCTAGGTGCAAAAACAAACAAAAAATACATGCGACAGATAAGACAGAACACAAATCAGGCACAATTTCATTCGAACCTACCAACTGACGACCGCAGATCACGGGGAATCTCGGCTGCCGAATGGATTATTTTCCCTCGTTCGTGAACGCTTTACTAAAGAATTACTTTGTTAGAGAAATGTTGCCTCGTAACAATTTATCTAGGAAATATTCACTACAGGCTTTTAATGTTTTTATGTATGCCATCAAGAACACACCACTTTTGTTTTAAATCCTTACATTTAGGCGCATGTAGAGTGCTTTACGGACTACAGCTGGAACCATGTAAGACCCAGCTGACTTCGAACCAATATGATTTCGCAGATTTTAGATTATAAGATAAAATATTGGTGGGAAAATTACACTACTAAATTCGATAAATGTAATAAAATGAAATTTGTATTATTACAACTTCTTAAAAACCAACTTTTCTAACCTTATCAAAAGTTGAGGTTACTAAAGATATAGGATACGCATCTTTTCATTTTAAACAAAATAATGAATGACTATGATTGCAGGTATGAGCCCCAAAAGTGTATACTTACAAGATTTCCTATCAGCATGCCTAGTTCGTTTTCGCTCTCGCGGAGCTGTCCTCGAAGGTCCTTTGGTTGCAGTCTTCACTAAACTTTCTAATATTTCATCATCCGCGTCTGTTAAATTGCCATTGCCCTGACTAAGAAACGAGCGATTTGTGTCACGACTCCGTCTTCGCCACGTGAATGTGCCTTGCAAGTTTTCCGCATCAGACATATCACTACCCAGCAGCTGGCGAAGTTCCGCATCGGCCCGATCTTCGCTTGTACGAAATTTTCCAATCTATTAACCAAGATTAAAATCGTCTTAATAATCTGCGAGACTTACTTCAGTAATCATCTTCCCTCTAGTCTTATTGCGCTCTCTATGGTTAGCTTTTTTCTCTAATTGTTGTAGCACCCTTTCCCTGGTCGTGCGATATTCTAACGCAAATTCGGATACTACACGACAGAATTCGTTCGGTTTAGTGTCGGGTATTTGATGTAGCGGAATACCCAACCAAAGTAGGAAGCGATGAAACCTACAAGCAACTAAAGCACACTGTTCCGCCCCAAACACACTATTTACCTGTTTATTACACGTCTGTGAACAATACCTAATAAAATTATACGCTCGGCGCAATCTGTTAAGAAGTCGGGCATTTTTGTTTTCATAGTTGACGCGTCGTGCTTTGCTATCAGTTTCAAGTGATCCCATGACGCTTTACAATCCGCTTCTAACCTCTGTATATTTAGGGCGAGTTCATCGAAGTCCACTTTGGACGCTCGAGTAATGGGACCGATCTGAAATTTTGTATTAATGCAACAATCGAATAATAATTATCAAAAATCCAAACAATGTATAATGAAATGCTTACTTCAGAATACAGATCGGAAGCGTCGGGAAACTTCTCCATGACGATGTGACACAAATGGTGCAAGAGTGAATGTTTATGCACAGTATCTTTCACCTCAGGGACTTTCGCAAGGTACTCGATTTGAAATCCTTTCACTTCGGCGCCGTTCAAAAAAATACCGATTGAAAGAAGTGTACCGAGTATCCCTCGAAATGTGTTGTTGACCTTTAAAACCTCAAATCCTTGCTTCAGATCCATCAGCGGTTCGGCGATCTCCCTCTCCGAGCTTTCGAAGTCCAATTTGAACGCCCACAAATTCAATCGCGCGGGTAACTCGGAAATCGAAGATAGAGTTAACAGGAACTGTTCGGCGCTACCCAGCGGCAACTCCTGGTTGGGGTTGGAAGCTTGCGCCTCTTGAATTTTCGTTATTTCTTCTTCGGTGGGCAGCATCGTTAGGAGTTTTTCGATTCCCTCGCGATTCATCACAGTCGAGTCCATTTTGAGAATGGCGGTCCTTATGGATCTGGGCGGTGGCAATTTTGTCATGCCTATGTTGATGGCGTTCGACCGTTTCGGGTCCAGAACGATGATCTCTTTGTTCTTATTTAATTCTTGTTGTTTCTACAGATGAAAAAGTTAAATGTTAGCCGACTAGAAAATTTAGCCTTGTATGATATAGTGCAGTTGTTCGCTACGCTACCGGCATGCTCTACAAAATGCAATACATACTGAGAAAGTGTACATTTAGATGTAGATAGTAGAATGGTGGAAACTGTATTAACGCTGCTAAAAGCTAAGAGTATAGATGCCTACAAGAAAGTGGGTTATTAGACGTAAATTTATACAATTGTGTTCTGCTGTAGCTATGGTTTCGCAATTGCCAATATTGTTAGTGGTCGTTTCGCTATCATACACAATAATTACATATATGGGCTTTGACCACAAGAAATGGTCCAAAACAAGCCTAATATGTGGAAAAGGACCCGTGTGAAGTTAGCAATAAACAGTTTCAGACACTAATTGTAACAAACAGTGATTGAAATTGTAGTGGGACAATAGAAGGAAATGGAAAAGTGAAGAAAGTTGGTCTTAGTAGGTGTGTGTATCCCAATAATCAAACAATGTGTCTGCTGAAAGTTTATTCTCATTGAGATTTTGTGAAAATTTGCAGACATTTTCTAATAGAATTAAAACTGACCCCCACACCTGACGCAGGAATCTTAATAAGTTCGTAAGCGAATATTAAATTAGGACATTGGATAAATAGGAAACTACGGAGCTCTATTACTCTTTTAACTTACATAAATATTAAACCTTTGTCAATTAACTATTGCTATTGGATTTTGTTTAAAAGCTACCAAAATAACAATATTAAATCATTATATACCAACTGATAAATGAAGACGATAAAACTTGTACACACAAGGTTCATTTTTTGGGAAAAAATTTTCAAAGGGCAATTTTTTTAAGTATTCGCAGATTCTTACAATTGTCCGTCCGAAATTATCAGTTTTAGAGATCACTCTGTAGATAAACACCCTGTATCTAGACGCGTTTTAAGTTGGGCGCTGCAATACGAAGATTTCCGCAGCTACAGGTAATTGGTTTAATTTCTAGAGTTGTATTTCAGCCGCCGCTACCGTAAATAAAGCTGCAGTTAATCCGCCGTTTGCAACCGTTCCCGTAGGAATATTTAAATTGTTTTTACAGCCGCCGAAAGCTGTCTTGCCAGGGAAGAAAAGAGAATCAAACTGATTAAGTTTTAGATCATTTCCATAAATTCATTTTTGCAACCGTACCATATATAGTTCCTTTGCTTTTGCCGTGAAGTAATGTTGCATTATTACCGTTTCATTTTGTTTTGACGTTGAGTTTATCGCACAACCTTTACAGCTTTTCATCTTTTGCATCTTCAGCAGTTTAGCACCTTAGTTTTCTTTTGGTCGTACCGTTTAATTTTCAAGGTGAGGGTTTGCTTCTTGCTCCGTTAATTTTAAAGGACGAATATTGTGATGATTTCCTGCATGTAACCACCCGTAGGAAGGAATTAAGTTGTGCTTTGTTGTTTTTTCGTCCAATTCCTGGAGTTGCGAGTGTTATCTGGGGTAGCCATTCCGCAGCGAGCCTGAATACTTGTCCAAAGACAAGACCACGCCCCTTCGTGGCGTTCGAGACCGTACCGAATATCCAGTCGATTGCACTGCTTCCGTGGTCAATAATTTTTTTATATTTATTTACTAGTGATTTATAATGATTTTGCTTTTGTTCTTTGAATTAAATTTGAAGTTAGTTACACTAATTACCGTTTTATTTTCAAGACACTGTTTTGTTTGGACTACTAAAGTCAGTCTCACCACATCGTAGTTACTGCTAACTTCACATAGAATATTCGAAATTATTTCTGGCTAGATATTGCTAACTTTTATATAAGTAAAAAAGTGAATGTGGCTAGCTCAGATACCACCTGCACATCTGCGTATGCGCGATTCTGCCCTTTTATATCTAAGAGTAAGTGTACCAAACTTGGTTCCAATTCGTTCAGCCGTTTAGCGGGAAATGAGAGTACAGACGGACTGACAGACCACAATCATCGAGATTTTGTTTGATTCGAATTCCTGGTGCTTGAAAACGTGTACTTCCATAAAAAAAGTGGGGGGTCATTTTTTACCCCAATGCAATAGCTCCCTTACTAACATTGGGTTGGTAAAAACATTTGACACACCTCTACATCTTTTAAAACACTTTTTTGTACAACATGATGCATACCCACTGCCGCACATGCCTTCAACATTAGATCAATTACATAACGTCAGTGCAGAAACTATGTAGACTCAACTAACTATAGCTTGGCAATAACATAAAGCGCAGCCCTTACAAACGTACAGGTGGTAAAAACGTTTTAGACATCTCTACATCTTTCAACAAACTTTTCGTACAACATGACGCATACCCACTGCCGCACATGCCTTCGATATTAGATCAATAACGTCGCTGCAGAAACTATGCAGACTCAAGTAGCAATAATATAAAGCGCAGTATTTGATGCAATTTAGAAAATCTACATAAGAGTTACCTATTCCTATCATATTTATTGGTAACATTACATGGAATACTCCATATCTGCAGAATACTGGTTGCTAAAGTAAAAGACGTCTGACAGATCTCTACATTTTACAAAAAACATTTTGCAGGACATGACGCATGCCCGCATACTGATTTTGTATTTTTCAAATCTGTCGAAGGATACAAATTTCCAAAATTAGTCTGCATATCTTTGACCGTACAACTTAAGAATGATACTAATAATACTGGCATTTGTGAATTGCTAAAGTTTTTTTTTGCAGTAAAAGTGTGTTTAAGTTTAGTACGTTTTTAAAATGAACTAAACTGGCAGTTCAAAAAGCAAAATCAGCAACTGCACATGCTTAAAAAAATAGTGCGTCCCCCTCTAATGGTGTTTAATTTATTAGTGTAGACGAATGACCATAATAAAAAATTGGCATCATCTCCATTAATAAAGAAAGTGTGTAAAATGGTTGGGACAAAGGTTTTGAATTTTTGATACAATACAATATCTAACAGTACAGCAAAAAATGCTTCTTTTCAGAAGTTTTTACATAAATTGTAACTGGAAGTAAACTAAGTATCTTTAGGACAACAGTAAAAAATCCCCGAAAGCTAGAAAACTACATAAAAACATTCAATACTACAACATACAAAAGACACAGGTAACAATGTAGGAAGAATCATGAAAATGTAGTCGTGCAAGCCCACCACCTAGAAAATAACAGACTCACCTCCTGGATACAGTACATGCCATTGTGTGGATCACCAAAGAAAAATGGAAAAAAATCAATAATTTAAATTAGTTAAGCCACTTCAAAAACACATAAAACAGTTCTACAATAGATTTAGAATACCTTCCACCTGACAACAGTTGTACAACAAAAAGACGTTACATAGAATATTTACAATAATTCTAATTGGTCGCGTCAAAGTGCCCAAAGTTAATTAAACCGTGTAAAAGACGAGAAAAGAAATTCTGTCAGTTTGCTTAAGTTAATTATAAATTTAATTTGCAAATATCATTTATGGTAATATACTTTTGTGATTTTTGTTGTTTAATGCAATAAATGATTAATAATGATATATCTTTATTTGAAACTAAAAAATCTGTTTGGGTCAAAATAATGTAAAATGTTCCTCCATATACCTACCTAATTTAAATGAATAAATAAATACATCAGTGTTTTCCTGCATTTGACAAACTGAAATCTAATGGACAAGGTCAATCAGAGTAATTAGACATAGTAAATATTAGTAAATATCGCACGCCACTTGAACTACAAAACTTTCCTTAATGCATTGTACAGTGGAACATTCAACTTATAAACGTTGGGAGTCTAGAGGGCGCGCGCGTGATAACCAAGTATAAGCGTTCTTCCTAAGTTTAATTTCCCTAACAAAATTAGGCACTCTGTATTCTTACTTGATAAGGAGAACAAGTTGGAAGGCTCAGATTTTAATAGCTAAGCTGTTAAGAAGAGAAAAAAAAACATTACCTTCGTGATCAAATCTTTTGCTCGAGATTCAAACAAGTGCTCCAACTTTTGAGTATCAACAGGCACAGGACTCAGTTCGTCCCATATTAATCCAGTCTTCAATTTCATCGTAGTAACGGGGTCGTCCCGCACTTCCTTCCAGAACAACTTAACGGTTTTCTTATTTTTCTTAATCGTCTGTTTGTTATCGGCGGGTTTCGCGATCCTTTGCACCCCGAAAACCGGAGGACTCGGAACGGGGGGAGTGGATCTATTGGGAGGAAGAGGTGGAGGTGCCAGCATAGTGCCGATTAGCGGCGGAGGTGGTGGTGGCACGCCGTTTGAAGCGGCTGCCGGTGCCAAGACGTCGACCTCGTCGTCCGTATGCAAATCCGTAAAATCCATATCACATAAATGTAGGGGCCTGTTTAGGAGATTCGCGAGCTCCTCCCACCGCAGCTCGTTTTCCGACTTTTTCACCTCGATCTTTGGCAAGCTTTCGGCCGTAGGACTTTTAAGGACGTCGATTTTCGACTTTGATTTCGCTAATCCCTCTTTGGCCTTTGAGATCAATCCCGACATGTCTCCGATCCGATTAATTTTGTTCTCGTCAAAATTATTGTTTATGATGGTTTGATTGGCTAATTTCTGCGTTAGGTCTTTAACTGTGTTCTCCCGTTTTAACTGCAGTATCATCTTTCGTTCGTTTTCATTCGCGTCGTCGTTCTCTTGGTTTTCTTCCTCGTTATTCTTGTTGGAGTACATCATTGACAAGATCCAAGGTTGTTTAGTGAGGCTATTTTCTTCGGAGTCTAACTTGTTTACCGCATTTCTCAGTGGCGTTATGTCTTTTCGGCTTGATGTTCTGTTCAACATCTTTCCATTCGGTATTTTGGACTGTTGCATATGGTTTCCTAAAAGAAATTAACTGTTCAGTACAGGTTTGAGACGTAGACAATACCCATTTACCAAAATATAAAAGTGCTATCTATTATTTTGTGCTAACCATGTGGGATTTATTGCTCCTAATTAACATTATTGTGTTAAACAAACTGCACACCTATTTTCATTAGCATATAATTTTTTGCTAATTTTGTGCTATTAATTGCAAAAGGTTGCTATCGGTAACCGGGGTCAATATAATAACAGCTCCATTAATTACTCATATGCATCACATCTTTTACACCTATCTCTACCTCAGCACACAACTTTGCCTCCATTTAAGGCACTCTCTATTATACCTAACAAGATAGTAATGCCATTGAATAAGCACAATGCTAAAATGTATCGAATTTGTAACACCCTGTAGGTACAGTGTGTCCTATTTTGCTTAAGACTGCAGTTGTTTTTAAAGATAGAGAGCCTTGCGATTTTCTTGACCCTGTGTCACTTTTTTATGAAACCTTTAATACCACCCACAGAATCAATCTAGCTATATTTGTTTCTGAGGTACAGGGTGAAAACGAAAAGTTTGACTTTTTGAGATGCTATGGTATCTTACAACCCATGTAAGATAGAAAAAGGATAAAAACTGCCCATTTTGGATAATTTTACGTAGAAACCAGTAAAAATCATGTTTGTATCACAGTTTTTGAGATTTGATCCAATGTTGGTATTTTTAAATGCAACACTCTGTCAATCTTAACGTCAATTGTTTTTCATTCTTTTTCCTGAGTTGATGTATCACAACATATGTTTTTTTCTACTTAATTTTAGCCATAAAAACCTTTATTTTTTCTACTGTTTTAAAATAGCAGGTCATGGATTCATGTAGATTTTGTTTTGTTTATTGTATCCGTGGTAATTAAGGCTGCTGATACCAATCAATAAAGTGACAGTAGAAACATGTCACTTCAAAATTTTGAAAAATATTATCCATATTTATATAAAAAAAAATAAATTGTGATGCGTCAATATAATCAGGAAAAGAATTGATATATACGGGGTGTTGCATTTAATTAATACCAACTTTGTATCAAATCTCAGAAACTGTGGTCCACAATTTTTTTACTACGCCACTGGTAAAATATCTAAAATACGCAGTGTTTACCTTTTTTCTATCTTAAATAAGTAGGAAGATATGGTAACACCTCAAAAAGTCAAAATTTTCGTGCTCACCCTGTATCTCAGAAACAAAATGGCTACATTCATTCTGTTTGGAACTGATTTCCTTTTAGAAGAAGTTCCACTTTAGTGGAATGCGTGGATATTTTGATTATAAATATAGATAGCCTGCATTCGTTGTGGGACACCATGTAGTATACACTGATACATCAGAGACACGAATTGACTTAACAGTTATATGGAGTTTAGGTGAACTTTAACCATTAGCTAGGGTTTATAACTTGGACCAGGTCATTTGTGTATTGTCTCAAATTAAACCCATGTCTACATAATGTACAGAATGGATGTATTTCTTGTTCTCGTTCATCCAATTGCGATAAATCTTGGGAGAATGGTTGTACCTCCCGTCCCACGGGAACGAGAACAGGAAAAAATTGGATTTTATGTTTGACAGTCGCACAGATACTAGATATTTAGAATTTTGGATACCACAAACAGCTTCTTTAAAAGTATGTTGAGTGAGCCACCCAGTAGTTAAAGATTTAAGTTTTGTTAACGTAATTTCGATTTAAGCATTGCAAATAGCAGTCGGGACATCCTGTACGTAAAATATTTCAATTTCTTTGAGAATGACCTGAGGATATCCTTCAAATAGACGCAGAATTGTTAAATTGTTAGAGTCATTTAATAGTAATTTCGACATAAGGTAAAAGTATCTGTGAGATTTTTTTTTTTGTAAAAAAACGTTATCGGACAAATTAATTGACCTTGTTTACTAACAACGCCACGTGAAAGATAACGAATGCGGGTGTTTATCAATACGGGCGACGAAGCGGTGTTTCGTGAATCGCCGGGGAACAACGAAATGGAACTGATGGATGGAGGTGGCTTGATCTTTAACAAACCCAATCAACCATAACAATTATTAGTTAACCTCATCCAATAAGTTATTGGATTATGCAAAGTTATGTGTTAAAAGCTGTCGGTCATCACGATATGTCTTAGAATAAATTCTTATAATTTCTTGTTATTATGCAGGTGCAAAATTTCATTTCAATGGTGCCCAATAGCGCATATTTAGCGCCTTAATTTTGTACAGGTAAATGTCATTTCTTGGAAATTCGCGGATTTTTGAATCTTATCAACCAAATCTAATTCTAATTTTTTACTGATTCTAACGGCGCAAAGTAGGGGTCAATGTGTGCATATTTTATTTTTAATTTTGCCTTTATTCTTGAGTGGGCGGGGTTTCAGTCAAAACTGTTCTACCAATCCAACCCACTATACATTTACAAATTTCCATGCCCGAACCCAGATTCGAACCAGGGACCCTCAGTACCGCAGTCCAGCTTCAACAAAACTGCACCACATGGGCTGGCGTTTCCCACATAAAAAACATCATTTATGCAAAAATACGCGGCTACGTGTAGTTGGTAGGATTAGTTTGATCTGTGCAATATCTTCTTTTCTTTAGAGGCGCAAATTTTCATTTCATGGGTGCCAAATGGCTCATATTTAGTGCCTTATTTTTGTTTAAGCAAATGCCACTTCTTAAAACTCGGCGATTACTTATTTTCTGCTGGGTAGAAATTATTAATTCTAACGGCGCAAAACGGAGCCCATTAGCGCATATTTTCTACTAGAGAAAAAATCATCTCAAAAATAACGGCGCGTAATACACGCCCAAATAAATTAAATTAATTAATTAATTAAATCTGACTAATCACAATTGACCCGGATAGATGTATTCCTAAGCAATAAATAGCACAACATTAAACATTTTCAAAAATTTGCTGGATTACTGCTTAGTGAAGTTGGCTGTACGTATTTGCTTATTTAAATATCTTAAGAAATTGAGTAGCACAGCAATAGCTGTAACCCTTTTCCATTTTGTTGAATGGGTAGTTCATGAAATGCAAATTTCAACTATAAGTGAATTTCTTACCGTTAACAACGTCGGTGTTGTTCTCGTTAGGACCCGATTCTCGAAAAAGAGCCGCGCTTTCCTGCTGCTCCCTCATAAAGCTGCGCTGCCTCTCTGCACGCTCTCGTCTCCGTCGCAAAGCAGGAGTAACGCCAGCTTCACTCGCTAAGCAATGCGAAAATTGTTAAGAAAGCGAACTCGCACGCATTAGTTCGGCGATAAAAATCTGTAGAAACTCACCTTTATTATTTTCCTTGTAGCTGCCGTTGATGTGATGGTCGTTTAGGCCTGTTGACGATTGCGAGCTTGAGGATTCGTCGTCTCCTTCCATGTTGGCTTGAAGCAGTAAACTTCGCCTTACATTCATGCACGAATGTAATGGAGCCGTTCCGGTGGAGTGTCGGCGACTTTTTCGACGTTCTTGCGAACCGGCTACCGATTTTCTACTCTTCAATGTTTTCCTAACGCTTTCATCCAAATTTCTCAGCGGTATACCCTTTTCTTCCGCATCTTCATATTGCAGTACAGCTTCGTATATTTGAAATTGTTGCAAAAGATCAAGATCGGTGCCCGGCTTTGACATGTATCGCTGGATAATACTTTCGATACCTTGCTCTTCTAACGCGTCCGTCTGGTCATAGTACGTATCCTGATCTGGTATACCATTAAAGCACTTATTTATTAGCGTCATTGCGTAGATTAACAACTCGGTGTCGGCAGAATCGAAATCTTTGAGAAGTTTCATGATGTTATACCAAGGCGAGAAACCTTGCGAACAATCGGCATTTTGCACCGCCCTTATCAGTAGTAGACAATTTGAGTCGACATACTCGACGAATACCAGTAGCAATTTTAGCGCCGTTTTGACGACCAAACGGAATTTCGACGAAATCAAACTGTAGAGCCACTGGACGGTTTCATTATGTTGTATAACACCGTTCATGCCATCGACGTAGAGCATCACTTGACCCAGCGCTCTTAGGATGTAATTTTGATAATTCTGGTCCGCTTCGGATCCTACTTTGATTAAACATGCCAACCCATCGTTCTGTACAAATTCGTGCACCAAATCCTTGTCCTCTTGAAATATTTGCTTGAGGGTAAATAGCGCTCTCCGAAGTTCTCGTCCTTCCGAATTTAATAGTTTCTCTGAAAGTAAATGAGAAATGTAGCGATGGTGTTAATTAACGATAAAAATTGTGCATAAATTGATTGATCAATTTGTAACGTATTAGAAACCAGTTTGAACGATTTTCTACCAGAAACCAGTTTGGGCGAATCTAGAACTGCAAAGTGCTAAACAAATTTTTATGTTCCGATTGCCCACGATTTGTTTTATACGTATAAAGGCTATCGAGCATTTATGCTTAACATATTAGAGAACACGACAGTGAAATAAATTCAGCGTTGACATTCTGCCAGGCATTTTTGAACTGTTTGGCCACCTACAAATAGGCACTTAAACAAGTTGAAAATGTACATAAACATAAACATGTAATGAAAGTGGAAGAATAGACTTTGGCGTACTAGACCATACTAATGCACAATGGAAAATATGTTGCTCTTTCTAATCATGCGACTTCTTCAGCGTGTTACTATGAGGTAGGCTATGGAATAGCCTCCAGAATAGCTATAGTTATATACGAGGTTATATACTAAAATGTTTTCCACGTTATTATCAGAGTTACATAAAAAGTCAACATATAAAAATTAAAGATAATTTAGCCCTGAATAATATAATATGGTCTACTTTAATTTAATATTGGTAATCCATTATTATGAAATAAACTTGAACACCTTTTTATATTACATTTTTGGGAAAACGAAGGGTATCAAATCTTTCCCCATTTACCTAATTCTTATATCATATTTTCCCCCCAGTGTGTATGATGATTCGATTATTTTTCCCAAAGACTTGCTATGAGAGTGCTAGGGGTAATAGAGAAAGAATATCAAGTCTTCTGTCTATTTCCCAGCGTGCTCTGCTGTCGGCGTATGTATTCACCCCCCCCCCCCCGATGCTAAAATCTCCCACACAAGTGCTAAGCATTCACAACTCGTATGAAGTACTAGCAACTAAACTTTTTTTGGGGAAGAACGTAGTAGCGGGGGGTCTGGGAGGTATGGAATAGGAAGTATTTTAAAAAATCACAACAGTTTTCTTAAGAATTTTACAAGAAGGTATTTTATTTTATTTTTGCCTTTATATTTGAGTGGGCGGGGTTTCAGCCAATGTTGCTTTACCAACCCAACCCACTATACATTTATAAATATCCATGCCCGATCCCGGATTCGAACCAGGGACCCTTAGCACCACAGTTCAGCTTTAACTGAACTGCGAAGCCTTAGATATTCAGACAAGCTTTCAAACAAGCTCAAAATCCTTTCTAGGAATCCTTTCCTCGGAACTCTCAGAAACCTTTTGTATTTAGAAATACTTTTAAAAATCTCAAAAGCCTTCGTAGGAATATTACTGGAGAGTATCCACAAGAGTTTGAAATCACCCCAGGAGCGCTTTTTTGTTTCGTAAAATATCTTTCCTTGCTTATAACCCCCTCTCTATGTATTATTAAATTAATTGTAATTGCACATCCTTAGTATGATTGAATATGCATTTTTATGTGATGGTTTTGTCCGTCCGTCTGCTCCTCGTTAAACTCGTTGTCAAGACTTCACCAATCAATTTCTACGAGTTTAAGGATCAGTGGTATTGAATATAAGCCAGATTAAAGTAATGATTTCGTAAGCGAGCTGACCGTCCAAAAATGCCGCTACTGAAATTGGTATGCGATTTTTCGTACCGTGTTATGTTCACGTTTCCACACCAGGAATTTTCTTAGGAATCCTTTGGGACTCTCAGAAACCTTAAGTTTAGAAATTTTTTTATCTGACACACTTTCCTAGGAATTTGACTACAGACTATAAAGGTCTGAAATGAGTTATTTTTTGGCGTAGCGCAGTTCAATTGAAACTGGACTGTGGTGCTAAGTGTCCATGGTTCGAATCCGGGTTCGGGCATGGATATTTGTAAATGTATAGTGGGTTGGGTTGGTAGAGCAGCCTTGGCTGAAACCCCGCCCACTCAAAAATAAAGGCAAATAAAATAGTAAAAAAAATTATTTTTATGAAATACCTTCCCCTACTTAGGAGCACTCAACCTCCTCACAATATAGAAATAAATTGACGCGCGTTGCACACTTTTAATATGATTAAATATGCATTTTTGGGTTCACAACGTCAACGTTCACACATCAGGAATCTTCTAAATCTTTTAAGATATTCGGGAGCCTCAGATACGTAAAAAATGTGAAATGTCTTTAAAAATCCCAAAATCCTTCCCCCCCCCCCCCCTTCAAATGTCTAGTTAAATTGACAGTAGTACCTCTCCGGTATATGACTGAAGGTTCACAACGTTTCTGTTGTCGCTGTTGATATCCGGCTCGAAGGATAAAAAAATATGTTGTTCGCGTCGTGCCATTAAACTCGTTGCGCGTGCTTTAAAGACTTAATTATACACTTGTATGTTAATATACTATTTGGGCGGGGTTTACATATATTAGTGTATTATCCTGCAAGGATTATTTATAGGTAAAGGTCCTACCTAACAATATTTTATCGTGCCATAAAATTATTCGGAAGTTTACGTTTAACACAAAACAAACATTGATAAATTCTTGTTTTGAAAAGTAGAGGAATGCTTTAAATCTCACCAGAAATCCTTTTTCTTTAATACCTTTTCAAAATAATATCCGGATTAGCGGGTAAACCGTGTAACCAATGCCCAGATAATCGAGTCACTATTGTAATAATAGCCATTTACTTATTAATAACAATATTAAGCATTGAATTAGGGCCCCCCGGGAAATTTCCCGGTATCCCTCCTGTCCAGTCCGGCCCTGGAGGACTACATTACCCTAAGACAAGGTCAGCGATCTTGGTAATTGCGGCTCCTTTATGAGACATGGACCAACTCCAAACAATTGGAAAAAAAATGCAACACGTCCGAAATAAAAGTAAATAGGCCCCTGTTCATTCAAGAAACGGTCACAATCTTAGCCAAGTCAAAGATTTAGATTAATATGTTCGTTCCCGCAATTTTGTTAAACAGTCTAAAGGTGTTTAAGAAAGCGGGCTGCAATTTCATTTACATGGATACTTTCGAAATCTTGCTAGAACTGATGAGAGTCCTCAATCATCGCCTAAGCGAGTTGAGACTTTTTTTTAAATAAACTTTTTCGAGAATATTCGTACAAGCCTCCTTAAAAATACTTTGTTGAGATATTCTCAAGAATTTTTTCAAATCACAGGAGTAGAACTTGACACAGAAATCTTGTTTTATTTGTCCTATGAATGATTTACGAAAGTCTGTGCACAAGTAAAAAAAATCTCTTTGAAATTTAAAAAATCTTTCTAGATATTGTCCTGAGAATTTCTGGTAAAGTCATGAAGTTAGCAATAATACCACTTTGGTATACAAGACTCTTTGATTAAACACCTGTTAATTCTAATAAAATGTATAATATAAAATGAGATACCATAACCAAATCTCATCTCATAGGTCATGAGAAACGATTTTTTTTAGTTAAACTGGTTGTACAAGGTGTCCCATTTTCGGCACTTGCGCTATCAAAAAAGTAAAATAAGACATATGTGCTCTTTAAATTAAAAAATTCAGAAACCTCTTGGAAATTGTTTTGTATTTTTTCTATTATTTGAATCATTTGTTAATTTTTTAAAATTTGCTTTTAATTTTTTTGTATCTTTTTTGAATTTTCTTGAATCACTTGAATCTTTTTTTAGTATCATCTCTGGTGTGTTACATGGTTTGAAGAGAGCATTTAGTATGTTACAGAATGGTCTATTTAAAAAATAAGGGTAGGTCCGATAACTTTTTATCCGACCCGTATACTTATTTTGAAAACGGCAGGATTTCTAGGATAGGTTTTTTTGCAATTTTCCCAACAATCTTTGTCATTACAATTTTGAATCCTTTTATTTTATTTGTTTTCAATCTTTTTGAATCTCCTTGAATCACTTGAACCTTTTTTTTAATATCACTCTCACGTTTTATATTTTTGAACAGAGAAATTTATTGCGTTATCTTTTTAGATTAAAACATAGAGTAGTCCACGGTAGTCCATTAAAAAACATAAGGTAGGATAGGTCGGATAAATTTTTTACCTGACCCCTATATTGATTTTGAAATCTGCAAAATTTCTTGGAGAGGTTTTTTCGCAATTTTTCCAAAAATATTTCTTAAGAACATCCTTTTGAAAACTTCTTTGAGTCACACGAACCATATTGGAAAACTTAACTGAAAAACAATTTTTTTAAAGAAATATTCCAGGAATCTTCTTAGAAAAAGTCGTCTTGTTTGTCTATTATTTGAATCTTTTTTTAATTTTTTTTAAATTTGCTTTTAATTTTTTTGTATCTTTTGTATTTTCTTGAATCACTTGAATTTTTTTAGTATCATCTCTGATGTGTTACATGTTTTGAAGAGAGAATTTAATATGTTACAGAATGGTCTATTAAAAAAAAAATAAGGGTAGGTCCGATAACTTTTTTACCCGACCCGTATACTTATTTTGAAAACGGCAGGATTTCTACGATAGGTTTTTTTTCCCAACAATCTCTGTCATTACATATCTGAATCCCTTTTTTTAAATTTTTTTTAATTCGTTTTTAATCTTTTTGAATTTTCTTGTATCACTTCAATCTTTTTTTAATATCACTCTTTTATATTTATGAACAGAGAATTTATTGTGTTATCTTTTTAGATTAAAACATGGAGTAGTCCATTAAAAAAAATAAGGTTAGGTCGGATAACTTTTTTACCTGACCCCTATATTGATTTTGAAAACTGCAAAATTTCTTGGATGGGTTTTCTCGCAATTTTCCCAAAAAACTTTCTTAGGAACTTCCTTTTGAAAACTTCGTTGAGTCACACGAACCATATTGGAAAACTTAACTGAAAAACAATTTTTTAAGAAATATTCCAAGAATCTTCTTAGAAAAAGTCGTCTTGGAAAGCCTTTATTGAGTTTTTAGAAAATAATGATAGAAATATATTAGTCTAGCACTTTCCAAATGATGCCACGGGAGCATTAAAACAAGTTTTATTTTTTCGAAACTTTAAAGGAGTTGAAATTGAATTTCGGTGGGGCAGCCAGGTATCGGGTAGACTGGTTTTATTAGATAGTGGATTTTTCAAATTTTTTTAATCTAAATTTCCTTTGCAGTCATTTTTCCAACAGAATTCAGCGCACTTTGTTTCTGCAAGGCGAAGAAGCCTACCTGTGTTGTTTATAAAGTCGCCCTGATCGGCCCCAGAGCGTGAAATGGGTCTATCCCAATGTCTAATTGTGACTTATGTTTAAACTGTGGGCCAAAATGGGCAAGATCCCGAAAAGGCCTTATTAAAAAAAAAAAAAAAGAACAGAATGCGTCATGGCCCATGGGTCGTTTTAATGGCGCCCTAAAATTTACAGCCGCCAGTTTGGCGCGAGATTAGATCAAGTTCCAAGGAAATGTCATACAATTTTGAATGTGTGGATCGGCTCATTATCGTAAGCTGCAAGTTCTGCATTCGTTTCAGTAAACGTGGATTTGAGCCATATAAATGTCAGGTAGGGTGTGGAGTGATTTTCATTGGTGGCTGGCAGAGATTCATTGGTTGATTTAGGTCTTTATATTAAGTAGGCGATTTTGGAATTAAGGAGGGAGTGCATCAGAAACTAATTGAGAGAAACTAAGATGGGTATTTGCGTCGAAGTGTTGGTAAAGATGAGGCCAAGGAAAAAATTACAAAAGTCCTCGTATGTGCATCGATGAGACTTCAGCGCATTTTTGGCGTGACGGATCAGTATTGCATCAGCAATCAGTATTTTATCAGAAAATTTTAATTATAAAATAAGGTTTATGCAAACATATATTTCTTTATTAATTTTCACGAACTCTAATAATAATTGGACGATGGTATGAACAGTACGACTCGTAAACCGAACAATCAACAGTGTAGTTGACCATTTTGCCAAAAACTCCGTCAATTATTGTTCCGCCATTCGTTGTCACTGTTCGGGGAGAGATGATCACTATATTGAATTTCTCTTGAAGAAATTTCTCTACCCGATTTCCGACAGTTAATGGGAAATTAAAGTCTCCCATAATCAAGACGTCTTCAGTTGCCTCAATGAAATCCCCGATCTCCGATAACGCTGCAATCAACAAGTTGTTGCCTTTACTAGGAACATCAGTGGTTCAAATTTCAAAGAAATATCTCCATAAATAAGAAAGTCAGTCACTGCGCATGCCTACACATAATTTTTACTATTTGCGAAATGTTTGCCTTTACTAGAAGCATCTGTGGTTCCAATTTCAAAGAAATATCTCCATAAATAGCATAGTTGGCATTGCGCAGGGACTGCGCATGCGCACACATAATTTTTAGTATGTGCGCAATGTTTGCCCTTACTAGAAGCATCTGTGGTTAAAATTTCAAAGAAAAATCTCAATAAATAGGAAAGTACGCATTGCGCAGTCACTGCGCATGCCTACACATAATTTTTACTATTTGCGAAATGTTTGCCTTTACTAGAAGCATCTGTGGTTCCAATTTCAAAGAAATATCTCCATAAATAGGAAAGTTGGCATTGCGCAGTCCCATTCCGCAGGGACTGGGCATGCGCACACATAATTTTTAGTATGTGCGCAATGTTTGCCTTTACTAGAAGCATCTGTGGTTAAAATTTCAAAGAAAAATCTCAGTAAATAGGAAAGTTCGCATTGCGCAGTCACTGCGCATGTCTACATAATTTTTACTATGTGTGAAATGTTTGCCTTTACTAGAAGCATCTGTGGTTAAAATTTCAAAGAAATATCTCCATAAATAAGAAAGTTGGCAATGCGCAGTCTGCGCAAAATAGAGAGTGCAATAAAACTGTCTGAAATGGGCAAATATAGACCATAGCAGCTATCAATTAGCGAAAACCCGAAGTCTTTAGGTGTCCCAGGGGCCGAGATCTCGATGGAACGGACGGACGGACGGGCGGACGGACAGACGGAAACACGAGCACATAAGCGTTACCTCAACTTCGTTGTGTTACGCTAAAAACCGCTCAGACCTGGATACGATATTTTTAACCAAAATTATACCACAAACTGTAAAACTCATCACCGTGTTATGATTTTGATTAGTTTTCACCTTGAAGTAGTTATCCTAGATAAGTCATATTAGTGACCGTAGTTAGGCAATGCCAAAAGTATATTTTATAAAAAAGCCATTCCTCTACGTCAATCGGATCGGCTTAAAATCGATATACGCACGGACAAGTTTTCAAGCGGCGTTAGTTATTTCGCAAATTCTAATTAAACGCAACCACTACGGGCTTAATGAATGTCCATTGCGCCAATAACTCGACAAGACGGAGATAATGCAAAAAACCGGACCTCTCTACGATGTCTAGATCAAAAGTTTTTCAATCCGCCCAGCCAGCCAGCCAGCCAGCCAGCCGGGCAAAGTGAAATGATAAGCTCCTTTTTGTTACCAAAAATGCGCTAAAAACGGTTTTGTTAGAGAAAGTTAGAAAAGGGAAAACCGCGCGAATCTGCTTGAAGGCTATAGAGAAAAGATTAATTGATTTGAATTTGAATACACTTCAATATTTTAATTTTGTGTCTTTGTTTGCCATTGAGGTGGCCGAGGGTGAAAAGGATCAGTATTTGAGTTACAGTCAATTTTATTGAAGGAATTGGAACAAGGTAATTTTAATGTGAGCTAGCCGTGGATATAGTTTGGGCGGAAAACTTTCACTTTACCATAGGTAACCATTCTAAATTTGAATAAAACGTTCACAGTGCCTATCCTGAAATGTAACCCTTTTACGGACGTGAAAATCTTAACCGAGGTGTCAGAGGACGTTTCCAGAATTATAAATGAACCAGGCACTATATGTATTTAAAAGGGAACATTTCAGTCGCATTTTTAACATTAATTTGGGGAAGACTTTTTTATGAATCTATTTGACTGTATTATAACGTCTAGCATTTAATGATTAATGATAAAAAAATTATTGATATAGGCTATAACGAGGGCTATAGTTTAAAAGATATTTTCCACAGTGCTATTTTGTCTATGCAGGGTATCCAGTGTTTCTCACGCAAAAAGGACACTTGCGTCTATGTATACTTAGAGGGAAGTTGGAGAAGTTGGAAAATGGATCCCTGTGGAACATGCCCAGAGGGATCTTTTAAAAATCAAAGGTTCTTGAATTTACAAATTGATTGTGTTTACTAATATAATAATCTAGTACAAAATAACTTACCTATAATGCTATGTACACGAACTGAAAGTTGCGTTCGAAGCACAATTGAATTCTTCTTACTGAAACAAATTACAGGATTAAAACCGGCAATTAAAACTTAATTAAAGACTTGAATACCGCGTAATTGTGCAACTCGAGGTAAACACACTCATATTTGCGACTTTTACACAAAAAAAACAATCACATTACTCGCTATAGTGGCGATACCATCAAACTAATTTGGTAACGCTAACGCGATTGTTTTTTGAAAATTACCTGGACGACCTCGTTTTAGCTCAACTATTAGGTAGGCATACTACGAGGTGCGTGTAGAAAGAGAGGCGACAAAGTGTCGTTTCGACACAGCTGATTTTTTTGCACGTGCCATGCACTAAGTAGTTTTAGATATTTGAATAGCATGAGCGAAAATTAAGCGTGACTAAGCAGAAAGGCGGATCAAAAGAAAGTTTGTTAAAACCTACAAGCCATATGCCGCCCAATTACTAACATATAGATCCGGATAACAATAAGGATTCGCATCAAACGTGGATGGAGAATAAAAAATGACAATGTAGAAAGTGAAATTGATGAAATGTTTAAGTATACGCGAGCAAAAGTAATTTTGAATATTGTAGAGTCATGATTGCATAGTTGTACTTGTAACGTTCGTTATGTCTTTACTATTTAGATCTTAGATAGGAAGATTTGCAACTTTAAGTACCGTTATTACATTTTTAACGATAGATAACCGTAGGCACGTACATCATTTCCAATAATAATAGAAAAATACCGTGCCGCTGTAAAAACAAATTGTTAGTACAGTACATCTGATTGAAACAATTGGCTCCAAGCTGGTTGTACAATTTTTTCAATTCGCTAAATCAACACCCAGTTTACTCGCCATTTTACTACCGTTAACTTCTTTTTTCACCGCCATGAAAAAGCCCCGACATCTTCCCATCCATTTATCAGATGACACGTTTCCAAATTTTGTCCAAAGTGTTTTGATGCCTCTGAAAGAGACGAAATTTCACTTTTGTGACAAAAGAGGACTGATGGTCGAACTTTCTCTTTGTCTCAAATAGGCCTTGAACCCCACCGAGACAAGAACTCCTACTTAGGCAAACTGTCCATAAAGGAAGGCAGAGTGCAGAAGGCTACTTGGTACAAATTGGGGAGTAAAGCCAAAAATGATCGAAAGCAATAATCACACCCATGGTCACCTACGCTGCGCTAGTCTAAGGAGTAACGAGGACATGTCCTACACCCGCAATGAGAAAGAGACAATGCCAAGCGCCCCACTGCATAGCCTAAGTTTGCCTGTAACGGGAGCCCTTTAATGGGATTTATTTAGTTCATTTTTTTAGGTCCGTCTGGAGATGAACTTCTTCAGGGTTGCGCGATTTTGGTATTGAATAGTATAAGATGTATGGATAGGATGTTTTTATTATAAGGCTCAAAAATGTTGCCGCTCTATCGTTGTTTATATCAATGGTTTCCGGATACAGAACTGGTAGATTAATTACGTGAGAAAATGCGGCAGCGCCAGTCAGTCGCGTCATAAAGACAAACTCAATGGGTTGTACGTGACCAAACGGCCGATTCAGATCCGCTTATTTTTCAGGGCATGTGAAGCGCTGAGTCAAAGGTTTTCGGTAACAGAGGATTCTGGCAAATTGCTTTTCTAAAAATTGGCTGGTCAAGAACATGAAATCTATTGGTAGAACAAATAAAGATGTCTCGATTAGCACCATTGTGAAGGCGTATTTGTAAAAGTGTGGATTAAGCCGAAAGAGGTAGTCCGGAGGGGAGGGGGGCATTACATCACGAGTTACGCCGTAGAAATGCTAAGTCATGACGGCGCTAAAATTCAAGCGTGGCCAGAACAGAAAAGCATATGCGCATCGCGCTTAATCAAATCAACCGGCTGTAAAATTCTACCAGGGTAGTTGCGCGTCAACAAGAGAAGATGAAAGTAATACACATGCCGCGCTATTTTATTTCAAACTATTCGAGTGTATGCTAATTAATTAAATAAATTAAATTCTTTTTTTTCAGTTTTAAGTACAAAGTGATTACAGGAAATAAATCGCAAATTAACGACAGCGGAAATCGCCGCATCAACTGATCAACATCAACGTGAATTTAACTTGTGGTTTCTAAAAATAGGAATGTGGACTATATTTATAAAGTATGACGACACCTGGCCGCACAATTCACACGTTTTGCTCACAGTTAATGAACTTTCATTGTCAAATTTGTGTCGAATGGGATGTCCCGTCGAGTCGAATGCACAGAAACTTTCGATATCCGAAAAATTATAAATTAAGGTAATAGTATTTGCATTTCCAATCCATTACCGTGCATTTAAGGGTAAAAAGGAATTAATGATTTTAATACAATATAATAGTGGAAAAGAAACTCTTAAAGAAGCGGTACTTTCATGTTTAAATTGTGTTTAAATTTTAATTTGAACCCACCTACAAGTGTTTATAACTTCTCTTTCACGTCAAATGCTAGTTTTTCAGTCAATGTAATTGAGTAGAGAAAGTATATACAGACACCAAAATGACCGTGTTTCGGTGTGGGTATACTCGGAATTTTACAGTCTTGTAATGACGTCATTTTTGTCTATCCTTGTTTAACTAATGTAAAATGACAATGACAAAAAATTTTGCCGAAATGTTGTTGTGAAATGTTGTTGTCGTGGCTAAATTTTACCTGAAATGCTTGTCAAGTGATTGTCAGTTTTGAAGTTTTGAAAACGCCAAAGCGTCAAAACATGCCGCCAAAAACCCTCATCGATTTAACGAACAAACACAGTTAATAATTCTAAATGTGTTGGCTTTCTTTCAAATTGAACAGGAACAAGTTCGGAATGGCATACCACTAGACATCAACAATGTTATACAGCGAACTGCACAAGCAACGAAAGTCAGCCCAACAACCATTTCAAATTTGAGAAAAAATGGTGTAAAATCCGACAAAGATTACGCATCTAATGTCTCTACCAAGCAAAAGATTAACAAGACGAAAATCACAGAATATTTGAAGAATAAAATTCGGGATACAATCTATTATATGTACTCCCAAAAGGAATATGTTACACTGGCAACTATTAGACAAAAATTTCTGGAGCAAAACGAATATTTTCAATTTTCCATTGATTCATTGAGAAAGTGGATCAAAAGTATGGGTTTTAAATGGAAGAAGTCCAATAACAGAAAATATCTTATGGATTTACCGGATATTGTCCACAAACGAATAAAATTCTTAAGGGGGTACATTGAAAACAAAAATTTGGGACATGAGGGTTATACTCCGGTTTTTATGGATGAAACCTGGATATTTAGTAAGGGATCATTTCGAAACAGCTGGCAAGATGATACTAAGCACACGGAATCAATTAAACCCAATGAAGGTAAAATAAGATATCATAATACCTTTTCAATATTATTAAAAGAGATATTCTTTAGGTCATCGATACATTATTGTCCACGCTGGGACGAACGATGGATTTATTGGTGGGGCAAGTTTGATTTTTAAAAGTGGAAAAAAAAAACAGGGGACTATCATGATAATATGAACAGGGGTAATTTTGAAAATTGGTTCAAGACTCAACTGGTGCCAAATCTTCCTGAAAAATCTTTAATTATTATGGACAACGCAAGCTACCATTCTGGCCTTTTAAAGAAAATTCCCACCAAATCATGGACAAAACAAAGAATGATAGAATGGTTAGGGGAAAAAAATATCGGCTATCCAGAAAAGGCAATGAAGGATCAAATATGGAGCATTGTCAGCGCAAACTGCCCCAAAGAGAAAAAGTACTACCTTGATGAATATGTTAAGCCTTTAGGACATAAAATTTTACGGTTACCGCCATACCACTGCCAATTTAATGCGATTGAAATGGTGTGGTCTCAGTGTAAACGAAAATACGATCAGTACATTGCAAATTTTAAGGGATCACCACAAGAGGTTTTGGCAACATGGGAAAGGGTTATCGGGGAGATTTCTAGGGATAATTGGGAGAAATACGTAAACCATACGGACAAAGTAATACAAGAGGCTTGGGGAGCAGTACAAGTTTGTGATGCTTCTGACATCCCACCTCTTGTTATCACTACAGACGCAGATGACGACCTTACTGACGACGAATACTTTGATTTTGACTCTGAAGATACGGACGAGGGCGACTAATTTTCTTCTAATACTGTGACCATTACAATCGCAATAAATTGGCATTGGTATATTTTTGTTTTACGATTTTGATTTTCCAACTATTCATCAAGGTAGTGCAATTTTTTCTTGTGTAGATGTGGTTTCGATAGTGGTTCTTTGAATTTTTATGTACTCCTCTGCTAATTATTTTTTGGGTCTTTTCGGGAGTATTGATTCCTAAATAATATTCTGTGATTTTCGTTTTGTTAATCTTTATTTATTTAAAAACAAAAATATGTTAATATTACTTATATGTTAGTTGAGCAAGTTATTAAAATAATTAGTGAGTAAATGACCTTTTTTGAAATACTAACATTTTATCCATCGCGGTTTCGCTCGCAAAAAATATGAACTATTCGCATTTTTTAACATGTTAAAAATTTATTTTCGATATCTTCAGTCGTTTAGGCTGTGCGTTGATATCTCAGTCAGTCAGTCAGTTAATTAGGACTTCTTCTTTTATTAAGACCTATAGATTTCTTGTGGAAATTGACCTAATTATTATCAAAAAATGCTAAAATATTATGTACACCACTGTATAGTAAAAGTCATACAGGTAATTAGACACCAGTAGTCAGTTACTTAGCAACAAATAAATTTAATAGGACATACGTTTTTTCCCACGAAAATGACGTCATTACAAGACTGTAATTCGGATATAGTGACGATTATAAGTGGATCGTTGCGACTAGAACACAGACTGGTAGCGATCAAAGTCGTCGCCGCGGGCCAACTTACTAAGTCAAGGTGTTAGCAACCGTGCTGAGGACTGTGTGTCACTGGAATGCCAGCCCTCTGATACCGGGCGACCTCCGAGCAAGCGTCTTTGCCCAGGTGAGACCGCATTTCCGTACTA